GTGTAGTACAGAAAAATTATTTGAAGAAAATAATGGCTGAAAACTTCTCAGATTTGGCAAAAGACATAAATCTACAGATTTAAAAAGGTCAGCAAATCCTAAGTAGGATAAACCTGAAGAAGTCCATGCTCAAACGTAATCAAATTGCTAAAAATGAAAGTCATGAAAGCAACTAGAGAAAAACACACATTGCTTATAGAGGAATAAGAATTTGAATGATTATGGATTTCTCATCAGAATACATGGAAACCAGAAATAAGTAGACCACCATTCTTAAAGTATGGAGAAAAAAGGATTGTCAGACCCAGAATTCTATGTCCAGCAAATACGTCATCTTTATTTCTGAAGGATTTTAAGATATTCTTAGTAAAAGGATACGAAGAGAATTCATAGTCAGCAGATCTTCTCAGAAGGAATTGCTAATGAAAGTTCTTCAGACAGAAGGGAAGGGATACCAGATAGACACTTGGAACATCAGGAATAAAGGAAGAGCAATAAGAATGGTAAATATCTAAATAAACATAATAGACTGTTCTCTTGAATTCTCTAAAACATGTTTTATAATTGAAAGCAAAAATTAGAACAAATTCATTGTAGTTATAATATATATGTCATATAATATGACAATATTGTATGTTACATAAGACAAGGAAGGTGAATGAAAGGACTTACTTATGCTGATAAGGTTTTTACCTTCTACTTGAAAGGGCAATATACTATTTCTCAGTAGACTGTGAAAAGTTACATCTGTTTATTGTAATCCCTCAAGCAACCACTGAAAAAACTACAAAGAGATCTAGTCAAAAACTCTGAAGTTGGATTAAAAAGAGAGAAAATAGAGGAAAGAAAAAGAGAGAACAATTGGAAAAGCAATAGTAAAATGGCAGATCTAAATCTAAACATATCACATTAAATGTAAATGGTCTCAACACACCAATTAAAAGGTCATGGCTTTTGAAGTTGGGTAAACCTAGTGTGAATTCATTCTTGGCCACTTGCTACCCATCTGGCCTTGTGTAAGAACACTTGCTTCTCTGAGCCTCAGTTTCCTCACTTGTAAAATAGGAAAAAATTGTACTTCCTCAGAGGGCTATTGCAAATATAAAATAAGGTAATATTTATAAGGAGCTCAGCACATCCGTCTGTTTAAAAAGTAGGGGAGGGTTTCCCTGGTGGCGCAGTGGTTGAGAGTCCACCTGCCGATGCAGGGGACACGGGTTCATGCCCCAGTCCATGAAGATCCCACATGCTGCGGAGCAGCTGGGCCCGTGAGCCATGGCTGCTGACCCTGTGCGTCCGGAGCCTGTGCTCCACAACAGGAGAGGCCACAACAGTGAGAGGCCCGCATACCACAAAAAAAAAAAAAAGAAAGAAAAAAAGGAGGGGAAATGCATATTTGCTCATATATGCAAAGTATCTTTGGAAGAACATACATGAAACTGATGTCATTAGTTGTCTGTGGGTAGCCTGGAGGACAGGGCTAAGAGGGAGATTTTTTTACTCGTACAGGTCCACAATCTCTTATCTTACAACTCTGAAATCAAAAGAGCTCTGAAAACCAGGTGTTGTTGATTTTTTTGTTTTGTTTTGTTTTTTTCATAAGATTGGTGCCACACCTTGTTTGGTAGCAAAACCTGAACTGAAGTGGCATTAAGCTCCTTAATATGTTCATTTTGTGTGAATTCTCATTCATTTTGCAGAAATATTAAGGTATTGGTTATAGGGTACTACACAATAATATGTTAGGTGTATTCATCTGACCTTTCTGAAACATGAAAAATTGTGAATTCCAAAACACATCCAGCCTAAGATTATGGATCTGTGTATCCTTTGAATTTTGAATTCAATCTGTGTATTGTTTTGAATTTTGAAACTGGTGAAGGCATTACCTATTCAGAAAATTAAATTTTAAAAACTAAATTTAGCATGGTGCCTGACACAAAGCAAGCTGTCAGTAAATATCGGCAGCTGCTATTATTCCATTCTTCCAGGCCTTTCCTGTCAACAAATCTGTTCATGTCCAATACTGTGTTTCACCATGACAGCAGACTCTTTGAGTGTTAACTACTTAGATTTTCCATCGTAGAAGACTGAGGTGCAAACCAGCCAGACCCCTGCCAACCAGCCAGACAATCCCCCACCCAGAGTCCTGAGGTTTTTCCTGTTCACCAGACCACCTCAGCCATAAGAATGGCGTCAACAGGATTTGTGTGCTCAAGAGAGACGTGTTGTTTTTATCTAAGAGGAGAGGAGAGCACATAAGGAGGAATTGTGTGCGGTCAGGATCACCCCCAAATCCCAAAGGGCCTTCAAAGGGCCCCAATCCCAAAGGGCCCATTTTGAAGCTAGGCCTTACTGTCCAGTGGGCCCAGCTAGGCAGTTGCGCCTACAGCATTTAGTGTACAGCATTCTCTTTCAGCTGATTACCAGATGAAGTTTTAGGGGCTTGATTCTAGAGACCATTTACAGAAATTAGCTTCTTTTTTTTTTTTTTAATCCCGAGAGCCTCATTCAGAATATCCAGTACTGAGACTACTTTATAATAGGATCTGGGCATGTATATAATGAGCTCACAGAAGCGTGCATGTGTTGCAGTTAGACTGTGTTGAGTGTGAGCCTAAAGGATATGCCGTGACAATTGCAAGAAAGCAGATTGTTGGGGTGGGCCTGGCAGCTGCCTTTCTAGCCTCCATTGTTCTCTATCTCTTCTTTCCTCCCCACGCTCTGTGGCCTAGGAGAGAAAAACAGAGATGGCTCCATGTTTCAGGAGCCATCAAGGCTCTGTTTTCCAAGTCATTTTTTTTTTTTTTTTTTTTGCGGTAGGCGGGCCTCTCACTGTTGTGGCCTCTCCCGTTGCGGAGCACAGGCTCCGGACGCGCAGGCTCAGCGGCCATGGCTCACGGGCCCAGCCGCTCTGCGGCATATGGGATCTTCCCAGACCGGGGCACGAACCCGTGTTCCCTGCATCGGCAGGCGGACTCTCAACCATTGCGCCACCAGGGAAGCCCTCCAAGTCATTTTTATAGCCACTAGAAGCTCCTTCTGTTTGCTGCTCTGTAGGGGACAGTTTGTGGAGATAAGTGTAAAATGCTTGCTGCCCTCTGCACCACTTGGTCTGTCCAGTGAGGCAAGTTGTTGGGAGGCCACCAGAAAGTTTTAACTGCCAGCTCTGTGAACCATGGTTTGGAAACAATAACCTAGGTCAGGAAAAATTGCTTCCCTTGGAAGCCATGTCCATCTAAATCATGGTGTCCTTTCCAGCTCATAAGGTAGAACTGCCTGGAGAAGCACCTACTTTTGGATTATTTTCGTAGTTGCTTAATTAATGGCTTCTTACCTGTAAGCTTTGATTAGCTGCTGTTTAGCAGGCTTTTCTGAGGTCTCCCATGCCCCAGAACTGTCAGGTTTTTCTTGCTCACTGGGGCTCCAAGCAGATTCCAAAGCACACTTTTTCAAATACCAGATCTTCTTTGTTTTATTATATCCATAGCCATATCCTATATAGAAAAAATAGGAAAGTATAAAGAAGAAACTTCTCCCAGGTGTAACTGTCACTGTTTATATTTTCAGTTATGCTTCTTTCTAGTTTTATTTATACACACACACATTTTTCATAGTTGATTTCCTAGGCTATTGATAATCCCCTTTTCTCCCACAGTTAACACTGGAGCATAAACATTTTTCCACATCATTTTAAAACATTCTAAGAACATTGTTTCCATGGCCGCATTACCATGATCTGCCTAACTGGTCCCCATTTACAGCCAATCCTGTTCCCTTGGTTAAAGTCTTTATGATGATATTTTCATTTGAATTATGTATTATTTTTTTAAGATGGATACCTAGGCATAAAATTACCAGATCACAGAATGTAAAGATACAGAAGGCTTTTGAGAGACTATTTTGCGTGTATATATATATTAGTATAGACTTGGTCTCCACAAAGCACACACTGATTTATTCTCCTGGCTCCTGCAGTCTTAGTGTGGGCAAAAATTGGTTCTTGGTTGGGGGGTGAAAAAAATCTTAGAAATTACAATGGTTTGGGGCTATCCAGTGCAGTATCTGTGATATTAACATTTCATGCAGGGGCCATAATGGGAAAAAGGTTGAGAAGCACAGTTCTAGTTGTATATGAGCACCCATCTCACTCCACCCTTCAAAGCTTTTAAATCTGAGCTTTTGGTTTGGGGTTTTAGAATAGTTATTTTTCTGATCTAAATGTTCTTGGTTCTTTGTACAAACTTTAGGAGCCTGAGAAAGGTATGAATAAAGTAAAATTTATCTGGTTGCCACTGTTCATATTTTTATCTTTCTACATTATTGGGATCCTCCATGTTTCTAGTTTTATGTCCAGCTCTTTTCCCGTAATTGCCATTGTAATAATTTCAGTGTTAGTCTGTGCCAAGGACCACTTTGAAATATCCCGTGTTCTGGTCTCATGCAGGGGCTTCCCCTGTCCCCCATGCCTGGGAGTACATTTGTGTCCCCAAAGGTATCAGATTTGGACCTCTGGGAGCCCAGGCTGCTCTGGGACTTTCAGTAATTGTCCCTTGTTTGTTTCAGGTGTGATCCCCTGGGCCCGTTTGCTGTCGGGGGAGAGGACCTAGACCCCTTTGGGTGAGTACTGCTGGGGAGGTGACAGCAACACGACTTGCTCTTATGGCCTTTCAGCCCAAGCTCATCTTCTAATTTTAGAGCTTTTCATCAGTCTTCCTTTGGGGTGAAGGAAGCAGTTGTTGCTGAGTGGCTGAGAAAGCATTGCCGCTGCTCTGCTCTGCCATACCTGGAGCAGTGCAGGAGGGCTCTGAGTGTTGGGGAGTGGCTGAGCAAGCCCAGTGGGCAGCTCCTCTGTTGTTTTCTAGCCCTGCTTGTTTTGGTGGAAGACAGCAGCTGTCCCTTGGATGGAAGGATACCATGGGGATCTATCAGGTGCAGACTGTGGGCTACAGACCTGAGGGCAGTTCAGGGCTATTCAGAGGTCGCCTCACTTGGTAAGGGGAGTCTCTGATCCCCATTAGACTCTCGTGTGGTTCTTGTCAAGTCCCCAACAAAGTTATTTCAGCCTCAGCTAGGCACTGTCTTCTCTGAATTCTTTTAGATTTTGACCTCTGCTGCAGAGTGTCCCCAGCTTGAGTGTCTCACCTTTAGACCGTGGGGAAATCATATAAGTCAGCAGTTGAGCTTGAACAGTGACTTCAAAGTTTGGGGAACATCAGCTTATTCATCCTAGTTTGAGCCATGAGGTCGGATCCATGGAATTCCATGAGGGACAGATGCTGTCAAGAGCCAGACTTGGACAGCCAAATTATGGATTGCCCTGAGACCTTTAAGGAAACAGAGCAAAAAAGCTAGCATCATGAATTATCTCAATTCATTAGTCCTTAGACCTAAAGTAGTAGCCTGCAGAGCCTTGTGATGGTTCTGCGTTGACCTTGACAAGTTCTGGCACATGTTCTTTATCGAGTTGTCCCCTTGGGTGCAGGAGATGGCAAGGGTCTTAATTTTGTGGGTTCAGGGAGCCTGTAGAGCTGAAAGTAGAGGCCATGATGGCCAGAGAAGGCGTTGTGCTCTTTGTGCTGTTGCTCTCGCCCACTTCCTGCTGGCACTCAGGCAACCATCCATGTGTGTCTGCTTGAACCATCCAGAGTTGATACCCAGTCATTTTTAGTCCATTCTCAGCACCTTCACTCCTTCTCCAACAGCTGCTTGCCACATTTGCTTACCCATCTTTCCTTCTTGCCTCAGGTATCGGAGAGGTGGCATGATCGTGGATCCCCTGAGATCCGGCTTCCCAAGAGCACTTATTGACCCATCATCGGGCCTCCCAAACCGGCTTCCTCCAGGCGCTGTGCCCCCAGGAGCACGCTTTGACCCCTTTGGACCCATTGGGACCAGCCCATCTGGGTAGGTATTCACTCAGGTATGCTGAGAAGTAGGACCTGATGGCAGCTCAGCTCAGCATTGCAGGAATGAAGGCGTCTGACGTCAGGCGCAGAGTCACCACTACCTCTGTCCCCTGCTGCCAAGAGCGTGGAGCCTCCTCCAGGCACCTGCCTGATGCCTCCCTGGAGCCTTCCAGGAGCTTCCCATTCCTCAGTGCCTCCCTTCCCCAGCTCCCGTCACGGAGGACTCAGAGGAGGGGTTGCTACTCACACTTAATGGACTTTCTGTATGTGTCAGGAACTCATTGGATCCTTATGTCAACACTTGTGGGTAGATATTACTGTCCACATTTCACAGATGCAGAAATCAAGGCCCTGAAAGGTGCAGTAACTTATCCAAGGTGGGAGAATAAGAATTCAGATCCAACTCTAGAGTGCATGCTCTTGAACTGCACAGACCACCACATCATTCTGAGGCAGGTTCCCTCCATTCAGGACCCTGTGTGCCCGTGTGCCGCTGGCTCTCCATTGCCCCAACTCACCAGCCCCTCTTTCCATTCCAGACCTAACCCAGACCATCTCCGCCCGCCGGGCTATGATGACATGTACCTGTGAAGGCCTCAAGAATGTAACATACCATCCTTCCCTCTACTCTCCTGGAGCTGCCACTGCTGGCCCCATCAGCAACCGTTTTCTTGTGGGCTGGGGGCAAGGGACTCTGCCCATGTGTTTGCAGGCTGGCTGGGATTGCCTCCCCTGCCCTGCCAGGGCCAAGGTACCTGCTGTAGCTGTCCACCTGCCTGCATATAGGTTCCAAAGAGAAATCAGTGTCTCTCACCACCAGCTCCTCCCCACTTCCTAGGGAAGACTCCGGCAACATATACCCTCGACCTGATGCAGTCCCAGTTGCAGCACTGTAAGAACAGAACACATTTTGGATGTTATTATTAAGAACCAAATGTCAATACAAAAATCATGTTGCCAGTCTCCCACTCTTCTTTGCTGCTCAGTTCCTTCCATTTATGAGACTTGAGAGTTTGAATGTTTGAGGGGGGCTAAATGACTCTTTTTTCCTACCCAGGGCCTGTTCTTGCTTCTCAGGCACCTTCCTTTCATAAATTGCTCATGCTCCTGACACCACTAAGATGGGTCCCGGTCTGGCTTCATGGATGAAAATGAGTGACTGGAAACCCCATAGGCCACAATGATGACTTTCTCAAGGACAGGCACATTGTGGAAAGACTGCATCATTCTGAAAAGGGCAAAATCTTCCAGTTCTGCTTGTCTGAGCCAGTCCTCTGGGTCCCTCTGTGCCTGGGCAATGGCAGCCTATGAACAGAGGAATAAACAGAACAGACCTGAAGGCTCATCTCTTTTTTGCCACTAACTTATTGAGTGACCCTAAGCAGGTCCCTTCCCCTCCCAGGGCCATCGTGTCTACCTACGAAATCTGAGGTGTGCCTTTCTTGCTCTAAAACATTCTGGTGTCTGCTTCTATGTCTGATGACCCCTGGGAACTGGGGAACAAAGGGAAAGAATAAAGGTTCAAGGCTTTGTGTGGTACTTACCTACAGAGTCCGCAACTGTGTGCCTCTCACCCCTCTTGCGGCTCAGACACAAGCATAGCAGCGTGGTGCTGAACTTCAGCACAAGCAGGGAGCCTGGTCTCTGAAAGCCAGTGGCAGGGGCGGGTCGGGGGGAGTGTGTGATAGGGGTGAATGAAGGAGCTAGTGATGCAAGAAACAACCCAGGAAGGCTTTTCAGCCTGAGGCCTGACAGATGTGGTCAGTCATGAACCCCTGTGCTGGAGTGGAAGAGCACTCTGGAGCACCAGACTCAGGCAAGAGATCAAGGCACTAGTCACTCTCACTCCCTAACTAGCATTTCAGCCACTGGTGGGTCCTTAAACTTCTCAGCTCCTTGGATTCCTTCCCCTAAATTAGGATGTATTATTTATCTGTGGGCAGAGGGCCACCAGAGCCTTCCTGAGGCATCTACTAATATGCTGTAGCCTGAATTGCCTGTCTGCTGTGCCTGAGAGCGGGTTAGGAGTAAACTAAACAGACATATGCAATCCAAGATGGAGGCTGGGACTAGGGGAGGCTCGCATGAGCCAGCCTCCTGGGTATTTCTGGCAGACCCCACTTCAAGCACTGATTTAGTAAAAGACCACCTTGAAGCTTTTAGAACAGCTCTCCTCTGGAGAAAGACCCAGAGGTCAGGCAGAGCTACAAATGCAGTCATTAATAGTCGTCTTCCTCAAGAGCCAGCTAATAGGTGGAACGTTTTTGTTTTGAAACTGGATCATACCTTCAACCAGAAGGACTTGGGGCAATTTGCTCATAAAAGCATCTTTTATTATAAAACGAAGCATTTAAAGGAACATCAGACAAGTGGGAGAAGTAGGTAACTTTTAGGACCCTGATTCAAGGAAAGAACAAGATTGAAACAATAAATTCGCCACTTAGATTTTCTAATAGCAGAAGTGGAAAGGATAGCCATAAATATAATTCTGTTTTCTGAAAATAGAAACTAGTGATGCACCTGCAGAATCAGCAGGTATTTTGAGTGGGTCTCCTTGCATCAGGGACAGTGAGGAACACAGACTATGTCTTAAGTTATGTGGGGGAAAGTGAATGGGGCCTTCAGGAACTTCCAAGTCAGGCTGTCGGTATGTGTTGTATGTCTGGGCCACTTCCCTCCTTCCAGCCCAGCAGCCAAAGGGAATGGTTCAGGTATATGTTTTGTGGAACCCAAAAGGTTGGAGCCTTAGCAATAAATATCAGCACTTAATAACCTGTTCCTCGTTTTTAAAAATACAGCTTTATTGAGATATAATTCACATACCCATAAAGTTCACGTTTTTTAAAGTGTGCAATTCAGTGTTTTTAGTATATTCACAGTGTTGTGTATCCATCACCATATCTGATTCCTGAACATTTTCATCACCCCAAAAAGAAAACCCATACCCATTAACCGTCACTCCCCATTCCCTCCTCCCAGCCCCAGGTAACCACTAGTCTATATTCTGTCTCTAAAGATGTGCCTATTTTGGACAGTTCTTACACGTGGAAATCACACAATATGTGGTCTTTCATGTCTGGCTTCTTTCACTTAATGTTTTCAGGGTTCATCCATGTTGTAACATGTATCAGTAATTCATTCCTTTTAATGGCTAAATAATATTCCACATTTTCTTTACCCATTTATCAGCTGATGGACAGTTAAGGTGGTTCCCACTTTTTGGCAATTATGAATAAGGCTTCTATGAACATTTATGTACAAGTTTTTGTGTGGTCATATGTTTTCGGTTCTCTTGGGTATATCACCTAGGAGTGGAGTTGCCGGATCATGATAACTCTAATTTTTTTGAGGAACTGCCAGACTGTTTCCCAAAGTGACTGCACCATTTTACATTCCCACCAGCAGAGTGTGAGGGTTCTGGTTTCTCCACAGAAACTACATCAGCTTTTTTAAACAAAAGAATTTTGACTTAAGTCACGCAAAACAGAGACCAGAGACAGTCACCCCTGGGGAGCAGACTATGGCTTTGGTAATAGCCACCTTGGGATGACCATGGCTGGTGAGCCACAGAGGAGTTTGGGTTTGACTTTTGGGGAAGTTTCAGGGCTGGATGTGATATAGAAAATGTCCTGTTTGTAGGGAAGTTGCCATGACCTTTCTGGGTCTGGCGTGATTCATGGCATCACTTTTGCTTGGTTTGAAATTTCTTTGTTGATCCAGTGGCTTACAAGTAAAATAAAGGTCTGGTTCTAAATCTTAGTCTTTCAGTGAAGTGCCATAGACCATGTGTACCATCTCTGGCAGCCCCTACATTGCCACCTTCTCTTCCTTGCCTTGTCTCTTTACTAATTCTTAGAGCTGGCTGTGTTTTTCATTGCATTGCATTTATCTACTTAGTAGTCATGAGCTTCTGTCAGCCTCCATGGTGAAATCGTTGGTCTCAAGACCCAGACTCTAAGAATGCATTATATTCAAAACAGATTTTATATTCCTGTGCTCGATGGTCAGTACCTGTTGACATGTAGTTAGAAAGTGGGTAGCAAGCCCCATAACAACCTCATTCTTTGAAATCCAGCTTCCTTCATGGCCTCCCTCTCTACTCATTAATGACATTCTATTACTGATCCATGCCTCTTCACAGAAGAAAAATTAGAATCTGTGGAGCAGTGAATATCTGTCACCTTCTAATCTTGTCTACTTTGGGCAGTTCCAATGAGACAGGTCCCACCACCAAGGAGAGGAAAGGTGCCTCACATGCATATCCTCAGCTTTGTCTTTTATAAAACTTAACATACTTATGGACCACTACTGACTTTTTGCACCAAACGAGAGATTCAAAGGCAGGCATCCAAGCCCCCAGCTCTTGTTTGTCCTTGGGATACCACAAGGCACACACTAAGTCACTCCAGCTGTGCTGGACCCTGAACCTGACCCAGAGGGTGTGTCCCAAGTAGAAGTGGCAGGCAGTGAGGGTGGCGGCCAGAGAGACGTGGCAAGAGCCAGCTGACTAAAGATAGACCCTAGAGTGCAGAGAGCAGCAATGACGTGAGGTTGGAACACCTCACTAGTGGCAGGGCCTGACTCTGCTTAGGCTGATGGTGCAGTCTAATAGAGGAGATTGGATAGGCCGTGTTCCCTATTAGCCACATAAGGTGAGTGTTGTGAGTATGACAGGGGTTCTGAGAGAGGAGACAGTGGGAGGGCCGCAGGAAACAGAAACTACTTTAGCTTTTTTAAACAAGAAGATTTGGATGCAGACATCAGCAAGATCACATCATCATTGCCTTGATCTGGGGATCAGGAAACTCCAGAGCCTCACAGCAACTGCCTAGATATGTGCCCGAAAGTGAATCCCCTCATACTGCCACCTTGACCGCCCTCACTCTCAGTTCCAAGTGCAAGGCTCAGCTGCATGCATCTGATAGTTGGAACCGACATCACCTCTCAAACTGTAGCTGCAAGGGAGCCTGGGAAAATGTTATTGTTTCCTTTTCCTCCCTGTCCCTTCAGGAAGGCACATTTGGAACAGAGGTCTGATGAGCCAGTCTCTCATGTCTGTCTACAACATGGGCCTTGATAGAGATGAGCACCACAGCCATGCTTCTCCAGCTTGCCCAGGCCTACCAGTCTCCTAAGATGCTTGCTTGAAGGACACAGTACATCCTGGACCCCAACCCAGACCTGGATCCAAATCACTAGGCAAGGGCCTTTAAGTCCATTTTTTACAAGTTCCTCAGGTGATTGATGTGACGAGACCAGTTTGAGAATTCCTGAGAAGGGAAGGCTACATCCTTGCTACTCAAACCAGCAGCACCAACAGTATCACCTACAAACTTGCTAGAAATGTGGAATCTCAGGCCCCACCCAGGCTTATTAAATGAGAATCTGCATTTTAACAAGTTGCCCAGATGATTCATGTGCACTTTAAAGTTTGAAACTCTCTAGTGTACGAACCTTATATCTTTTTCCTTTACCTGGATATCAGGTGAAAAGAATCAAGTCAGTCTTCTCGATTCATGGCATACTATGACGCATGCAAGAACCTCCTCATTTTAAGTCTTTTCCGTTTTACCCCCATAACCTCTCCATTCTTTTCTCCCATATCACTCAAATGTGTTTCATATATGTTTTAAAATATGCATGTACCCTTGTAAAATAGCATACATTATATCTTCAAGTCATAACAACCATAATGAAATACTATCCCCATTTTCTAGGCCAGAAAAAGAGGGTTTGGAAAGGTCTAGTAATTTGCTCAAAGCCAAGCAGGGCTCTCAGAATCAAGCAGGAGTGGGTGCGACTTGCAGCCCTCCCTTTGCTGGGATGTGGCTTTATCTGCAAAATGAGCAGCATGTCTACCTTCAGGATTGTTGCAGCGTCCAACCAAATAATGTGTCTTATAAACAGCAGGAGCTCAGCGGCTACCAGCTATCATTACTGAAGCCACATGGG